CCCCCCCCCCCCCCGGCGGGCTCCCCTCGCCCAGGCGGCGGCGCCGGCGGCGCGCGCGGAGGCGGCGGCGGCGCGAGCGAGCGCCGGGAAAAACCCGGAGTGGAGCGGGACCGGGAGGATGCTGCACCTCGGGATGCTGCGGGGCCGCCGCCGCTCCTGTCTCTGCCCCGGCCTTACCTAATGGGGAAACGGGAGAAGGAGACCTGGTGGATGTGCAGCGAGGGAGACCTCAAGAGCGAGCCCTGCCAGTGGAAACGCTGCTGTGTTCCTGACAAATATATAAATAAATTAAATAAAACATATTAAAAAGGCAGGGATGGGGTTAGGAGGAAGGAACTTCGGTTTTTACACGATGTGTTTATGTATTTACGGCACTTAATGGGAGCTGCTCCTCAGTTTGACACTGAGAACAGGACCAAGGGCAGAGCCTGGAGCACTGCTCCCAGGGATGCAGGTCAGGAGCAAGGGACAGGGATGGCAAGGCTTGGCCCAGTGCAGGGGACAAATCACTGTGGAACATGTCCCCATCCACACTCACCATCCTCCCCTCGTGTGCTCACCGTCCCCATCCAACACTCCCAACACTGTCTCTGGGTTTCTCAGCTGTTCGCTCGTATCCCTTGATGACATTGGACAGGCCCCAAATGGTGGGGACATGGGATGAGTGGAAGCAGAAGAGATTTGGGCTTTTCGGAATCGGAAGACGTGGGCCGTGTTCCCACTGTTTCGCCAGAGCTCGTAGTAGCCATGCTGCGCGGCATATGGGTGTCCTGAGTAATCACAGATTTGTTGCAATACTTTGGCATGGGGAGATAGCAAAATGATGCTGAAGTATAAGAAAGCAGACATCTGCGAGCATTAGCTATATTCTAGGCTGTTTGGTTTGTGTTTTTTTTAAAAAAAAGTACATTAAGAAATTTGCAAATGTCACATTAATGCAAATGTCAAAATTAAGTTTTTACATTTATACCTGAATTCTTCTTGAGCATCTTGTATTACAAGTGACGCTACCCCTTCATTTCCAACAACCTTGTGCTGTACATGTTTTTCTTCTTGTAGTTCCTCCATCCATTCTTCTACTGTTTGCTTTGTGAGAATGGTCCAGTTGTCTGAGTTACTCATTAGCTCTCGTACCCCTTAGGGAAGATGGAAAGGTTCAGTTCCGTGTCACAGAAATTGAAGGGAAGATCATCACTGAGTACAACAGGGCCAGGATTTCTACACCCATGCAGGACTCTGTCAGTAATTCAAGAATAACTCAAAACTATGAGCATTTGTGTGGTAGCACAACCCTCCTGATTCCCTGTAGGAAAATCAGGCATTTACTCCTGAAACCATTCTGGACTACCACGTGTGTGTCTACCGAATATTTTATCAACCACACACAGACTCTCATGTCCTCAAATTGAACCAGAGAGATCTTCATGACCCATAAATTTTTACTGTTGCTGAGTACGGCTGTGGCTGCTACAGGCGCCGGTTCTGAGCAGAACAAGTGTCCTTTCTGTACGTGTCATGGCATTGATGCAGCATAAATTGTAATGTCTTATTTACCAATTAATGTATTGTTGTGTAAAGGCAGAGCTGAAGTGGGAACTGCATGTCTATCATTCATCATTCTGCTGTCATAAAGAACTTTTATTTTTGTCAAATAGCCTTTCGTTGCTTTGGCAAATAGGGCAAGTCATGGACAAGCCCGTTGTACTGGGTGACGTACAGGCAGAGAGCAGAAAGATGTGCTGTGCCTCCAAAGAGTTTCCAGTCTCATATAAACACAGTCCTATAGGTGTCATAACGTAGTTTGTTTCTGGAATCTGTCAGATTCTTTTTAAAAGTTTTTATTAAAAAATACAGTATTAACAGCACATTGTTGAACAGGAGGCGTTCACAGTGCTCTCCATCCTCCTGAGCTGCTGATGTGAATTTCATAATTTGTAATTACCTGGCTGGATTCTGCCAGGATGTCTTTACCTTTTCTTCTGTGGAGGTATGAGGGAGGAATCCCTTTTTCTGTGAATGTCCAGGTGCCCGTAGCTCTGTTCTCTCAACCTCTTAAGAGGAGAGCTGTGCACAATGTTCAGCTTTCCTCATGCTTTCCCATGTTCAGCATGTTCCAGTGCCAGCCATGCACATGCACATGCTCAGCTTTAGTGCACCTTTTTAATCAGATTTGGCTCGTGTCTGTTGGCATCTTTCTCCAGGAGGTCTCCTTTTATTTTCAGTGGGGATATTTAAATCAGGATTTTTCAGCACGTATAACCATACCATGGTTGTATCCTTGACAATGAAAATCTCAAGCATACTGTACCTGTACCATGTGCCAAATTAAAGTTATAATTTGGTCAAATTGAAGTTAATTTTTGTAATAATGTGCTTCATGATGAAAACATAAAATGATGGGTCATCTTCTCTGTCCTGTTGCTTCTACAATCATTCCTCCTCTCCGTTTGCACTAGGCTTTTTGCTCCCCCTTTGTCCACTGCTGGTTTGTGGTCCTTGAGATAGATGGACAGAAAGAAACACCTGGTTACACACACACATTTTACCCTCTAGAGTGTGATGCTGAATGCCACCGGCATACCTGTGTCCTGTTTAAAATGCCACTTAAGTGGAAAACTCAGGAAAAACTTAAGTGGAAAACAAGTGTGGCAGTGGGGATGAAACAACGCGGTTAAAACAACCACTGACCCCGGTCTCTCAAAACATATATCTGCCCAAGGCAAATATCCTCATACTCAGCCATACTTTAGTTTTAACAGCAGCCTCACCACTGCTTTCTGGGGCCACCACTGGGGAGGAAGAGGCCTCACTCATTCCCCTGCCTCGGTGCTCGGACTCCATATAGGCTTGACTAGACTTTATTTTGGCTTCTGCAGCACAGTCAGGGCAGCCTGACCTCTTTACCAGACGCTTGCTTGTCATAACCTTTATGCATCTGAACATTTTGTATTACCGGCAGAAGGGAGCTGCTGAAATTTATTCTCCTGCCTTCTCCAGCCGTGTCAGCTCCCTGGGATGAAGGTCAGCCATCAGGAAGCACTGCCTGTGTCTGCTCCAGGGGCTGCTTTTTGGAAGGTCTCTGCAGCTCCTGGTGTGGGTCTTGCCATGGGCCAGCAGCTGAGAGCAGCCACCTGCTCTGCTCCAGGAGCTGCTGGTGCTGCCAGCTCACCTTGTTCAGCCTCTGCTTCAGGCTGAACCTTCTCGTTGTGGGGAGGTGTGGGTAGGTAAGAGTTCCAGGAGAGAATTGTGCCTGGGTGAGTGATACATCTTCTACACAGCCTGGGTGAGTGGGTTTTGTACACCTGAAAGACAAACAGAAATCCTTGGAATTCACTCTTTTTTCCCCCTCTAAATCTCCCCTTATAAACTGCATTTTATGGACTCATAACAAGCCAGGCAAAATGTGGGCTGCCCCTTTTTACCACGTTTTTCACTTTTTGACAGTTTTTGCTCTGCATTCAATCGCACCCTGTACCAATGACCTTCACAGGCTCCTGACTGCAGGAGGATGCTCAGTCTCCTCCTGGGAAGGGGACAGGAGCACAGCACACCTCAGAGGGATGCTGGGTGGGCAGGTTGACATTAACTCCTCTGTCTGTAGAGCCTCTCTGGCCTCTGACCATCTTCTCTTTCCCAGATCTGCAGGATTAGGGTGGAAGTCTCACTGTAACATTGAGAGGGCAGTGCAGAATCCTGCAGCTGCAGGAGAACAACCTCTTAGGACAAAGAGCAGGGAAAAAAAAACCCAACGATTGGACACGTTTGATGTGTGCAAGATTTAACTACCAGAGAGCTAATCAGATAGATCTAAATGAAGGACATTTCTTTGGCTCTGAATGATTTCTATTTCTCCTGGCCCTATAACTACTGCAAGCAGGAGCTGAAGATTGTTCCCTTCTGGAGCAAAGAAAAAAGCAGAAGGAAGAAAGGATACTCTTTATTACATCTTTCCCATACACATCCCTCCTTCAAACAAGGGATATGCAGTTACATGGATGATTTAAGGGCAGCAGCTGAGCAGGAATAACTATAAAATTCATGTTTTAATAACAACAACAATAATAAGCACACAACAGCATTTATAACCCTAGTTACAGGCCTG